CACATCCACACCCACACTCCACCCACACCCACACTCACACCCGCACCCACACCCACCCATCGAAAACAGCTTCATCAGCATGCATGAAAGTAACTAAATATTACTTATGAAAATTAAAAAAAGCAATTTATCGAATCTGTCAGCGTGTTCATTTTTGGGAAAATGTATAAATTATTTTTCTTTCTCTCTCTTATGTATCACTTGGAGGAGTTTTTCCATCACTCACTTGGCAGTAAAAAGAAACCGATAGTTATCTGAAAGAAAATTTCAGTTTATTTCGAAACAAGTTAGTGAAACAGTTACTACAATTCCATACAGATCTACTGGTTTTTCAGTAAAATCTACTAGTCAACTATTGTTTTTTTTACTGAGGCAATCCTAGTTTTTTACATTTGAAATTGGCAGCCTTGCTCGTCACTTCAGCTATCGAGCTGAAATCTTTGAAATCCATGTTTTTTGACATGAGGAATTGAATGGAAGTCAATTCAAACATTTTCGATCTCAGGAGGAATTATATGCACTTTTTAGAAAGCTTTTTTGGCATGCCATTAAGTTCATAATATACGTAACTATATTTAGTGGATAATCCCACTCACAGAAAAACAGTTATATATGTAATAGAAGTCTAGTACATATAACACAAGTTTGATTGAGCCAGGGTGTGGGAGTGGACGACGAAAAGACGACACCCACACCTATACCCAAATTTTCATTCGTATAAATCAATGCAAAATATGATATGTTGCGAAATAAAAACGAATATTGTTTTCTTTGTACTACTTCAATTTTCTCGTATTACTGTCTTCTAATCTATGTGTTTTATTTTCATTTCATATCCAAGATCCAATGAAAACAAATTGATAAAACGCGTTACTTTCTTTGCATACCTGTTGATAGGACTTTTTCTTTTCTGTGCAAATATTGTAGACGTTCTTTTGATAAGGGTTGAAGAAATATAATACGATAAACAAAAAAGGACCTATTAAGTTGAATAATCATAAGAAACTAATAGACTTATCCCGCTGGAAGAATAAAAGAATTATCTTACAAGAGACAAACAAAAAAAAAGTTTCATAGACAAAAGCAAGTTTAATATAAAGTTGGTTATAAAGCATTCATCATAAATTCAAACTATATCATTGAAAGTAACTTATTAAAATAAATTAGCGAAGTGAAACCAACATATTATTTATACAAAACTCATAGTAGACCCGACTGAAACAGATATAAATTTGGAATAGATGTTTAAAATTCGTTCTGAAAAGTTTTTGTATTCATTGTTGTAACTCATTTTCTATTTACTTAGAGTGGAATACCAGCGGTGAACTTCATATAAAATAACGATACTCCTATGCTCACACCCTGAGTATTGTTTACTCATATTCTCAGTTTATTTATTACCAAGTTAAAAAGCTTACTGTTCATGAAATATAGTAACTATATCTTATTAATTAATTACTGAAAATTGAAATAATTAACAGATCCATCATGCAGCTTTCTTACTGATCATTTTTAATGAATATATAATAAAGTATTGGTCATTTAATGTTTTGTATTGTCCAACGAAATCCTAGATTAGAAAGTGATAAAACTCTATAAAGGATTGAATAGTTTCCTGAAATTATTTTTCAAATAATGCAGGATTCCACATAAATGTAATTGATATTACACTAAACGAAACGAGACTCATAATTGTTCAAGATGCTTTCCGAAGCCATCTTAGACTCTAGAACTTAATTTGTCATAAGAACAAAATAAGATGTGAAGATTTTACTATTACGTAGATTATTAGTATGATCGAAATGCAAAGATGTTCCATGTTATTTAACAGCAATATCTGTACACTAGAATATCTCTTATTTCTGTTTCATATATGAGAGCACAATTTATTGTTCTGCTGTATACTTGTGCGAAACAACGAAGAAATTATCTTATAAAATTTTCTAAACAATAAAACTTTATTGCAACAATATATAAAATCCTTTTGTATAATTCATGTATCGTTAAGACCTTGCTCATGAGTGTCGTGGTCAAGTTCATCAAATGTTTCGTTATATTTTGTTTTCATTTTTAGATCACACTATCAACAGTATAAATTTATTTATATTTACATACAAGAAAGATTTTGCTGTTTATTTGTAAATTCTAATGGCAAATTCTTCAACGACAGTTAATGATCACAGTCTTTCGTCTGGGAAAAAAGTATCATACGGTACCAATTCGTAGTGATCTTCCAGAAATTCGAAAAAGCTACGATAATCAACCACCAAAAGATCTTCCACCAAGTGACTTCTGGATCGATCGAATTAAATGTCCATTTTTAGACAAAACTTCTTTATATTATTATAAAAGAGACAAGCAAGAAAATAATGATAGACAACTCAAACTTCATTATTGCGCAGCTAACGGACCATGTAAGTATTACATCTATAGAATAAATCAAAATAGATTTTGTCTCAAGATTAGTACATTCATATCAAGTTGAATACACTCGAGTAAAAGATACATCATAACTAGGAAACTAATATCACAAATTCACTCGAAACAATATAACCTATTTATTATTCATTTGCTTCGAAAAAATCCTGCAAAAAAAGTTGAAATGCACGGAAGCCAGCAACGAAAAAAACTAGACTCGTACTCGTTACAATATCCTGTCTATGCTACTCATACTTCAGTCGTCTGTGAAGCACTTAAATTTTTATGTCTATCTTCAGCCTCATTTTGAAAAATAGGAATCTCATTGCAATGACTTTCATAAAGTTTAAAGTTTACGATATACAAAAATTATTGTTATGCTGCTTATAGACACCGACGAAGGTGGTTGTCATCCGATTCTTACTGCATTTCTAAATGCGTATAATTCTCATGAAGATATCATTCTATCGCCGGATGACATATGGCTTATGATTTGTATTGGCTTTGCTCAATATGTTCGTTATAATGCAGAAACACTACGTCATCTCTTCATTGATCATGAAGGAAAGAAGACACTGTCAATAACAGATGTGGGAAAATCAACACCTGAGTGAGTGATTTTTGTTGATTCTAGTCGTAATTAATTATTATTATTGCTTCTGATTTGAGAATTATCCATAGAAATTTAGTTGTTAGTATTCGTTTCTCCTGCAATCACTCTTATTCACTTCCTGTAATCAAAACGAAAATTTTCTGTTCGAATTAGATATATATATATATATAACTGTAAACCTTTCGATGTTTTCTTTTTGCTATTGAGCTGCTACTCAAAAATTAAGCTAAAATTTGAACGAGGAAGGGCAAAGCTTTGGAATGAAATAT